GATAAAGCGCGATGGGAGGTGGGGAGGGGGAGGGGGGTTCGAAGTGATCATATCCTCTTCTTTCTTTTCCTTCTTTCCTCACACGCAAAGTATATATATATATATACATGAGTCAGTTCGTATATAATATTTTTGTTTGTTTTTTTGCTCTGGGCTAGAAGGAAGACGTTGTGTGGGTTTGGTTAATTGAGAGATGGGAAAGGATAGGGAAGGATAGGGTCTAGGGTTAGGAGAATAGAAATTGTAATCATGGTGGTTGTTGTTGTTTTTTTTGGGAGGGAAAACACAGATTGAATGTCAATGTGTACGTGCCACGTAAGGGGGACGATGTGCTGTCGTGTTCCTGTTCCTGTTTTCTCATCTTTCTTTCTTTTTTGCTTTTTGGCAACGTATAGGGCGTTTGTGGCGTGGGGTATATGCATATGGGGATGGACGTGGACGCATGACATGGCATGATTGAGGCTGAAAGTATGCATGTGATGGTGAGAAAAGAAAAAAGGTAAATCGGCTTTGCTGGCCTTTTCTTTTCTTTTCTTTTTTCTATGTGTGCGTCCTTGTTCGGTGTGTTGGTTTTCGCGTACCTTGCATTGCATGGTCGGGCTTGTTTGCGTGAGACAGGGGGTATGGGGGTAATAAGAGAGGGGCAGGGGGGGGGGCATGCATGATAGGTGTAAGATGGTGTGACACGTGATGTAAACGTGACACTTACTAGTTTCAAGCGTTGTACTTTTTTGCTTTTTCTTTGCGGAGAAAAAGGGGAGAAGGAGAGGAGATGGTGATTAAGGATTTAGGTAGAATGGGGAGTGGTAAGTTTTCTTCCGTGGTGTGTTGTGGGAGGAAGAGGTGTAATGGTATCCTACTAAAGGATTTACGTATCTCAAAAAATAGTATTGTTCGTCTATCTGGACTAAATACAAATTAGCATATTAGCTATAATCTTCAAACAACTCTCCACTCAAGAAGATCTTGATATACACCCAACCCATTAATCAATGTTTCACTGTTCAGTGACACTCCCCCCACGCCACAAAGCCCCCACACACATAAGTCGAGAAAAAAGTGTCTGCACACTCTTACCTGCATCATTGACGCACAGCCAACGTATTGACACTTCTTCCCGCTGTTTCATTTATGCAGTACAACGTACAACGTGCTACACGCATGCATGCACGCCATGCTGTATACTTCCCGCCCCATATATGCCGTGCATACGTTTGTCTGTGACCACGTAGTGTGCAAGTTACAAATATGAATTCTCTCATATCTAAGGAAACAATTACTAGTACATGTGCCAAAGAGGCAAGTATATGCATGTATAGTAGTATTGAGTTCAGATTCTTTTCTGTAGTATCGTTTTTGCAGGTCACATGGAGTTTGGACTGTTGATGCCTCTTGCAGTAAGATAAAGACGGGCTCGACTATCAACCTGTGTAAAATGTGCATCATTATGGCGCTGCTTATAAGAGAGAAGTAAGAGGTACGAATGAACGTGGTAAACAGGGTGGTTTGAAATAGGGTCGTAACTAGTATATATTAGCATTGCAAGCCGTAGTATACCCCTTGTTCTATTTGAAGACTCGGAACGGCGAGATGGTCACTGTCGAACGCTACGTTGAGCGGCAAGTATTCTTAATTGTCAAACTGGCTATTCCTGTTGCTTGCTACGCAGCAGCTCCACCACCGCCTTGAAATTCCTATCTGAAGCTACGTGGAGTGCGGCGTTGAGAAATCTACCCTCCACTTTAGCATTGGTGTCTTTATCTAGTAGCAGCTTTACTATCGCCTCGTAGCCTCTAGCTGAAGCCGCGTAGAGTGCGTTATCATAGGGTCTACCCCCTGCGTAAACGTCAGCGCCTTTATCTAGTAGTAGCTTCACCACTGCCTCGTGGCCTCCAACTGAAGCTACACAGAGTGCGTCGCTATAGTATTTATTCGACGTGTTGACGTGGGCGCCCTTGTCTAGCAGTAGCTTCACTACTGCCTCGTGACCTCCAGCTGAAGCTACACAGAGTGCGGTATTATGGTGGTCATCCGACGTGTTGACGTAGGCGCCCTTGTCTAGCAGTAGCTTCACTACTGCCTCGTGACCTCCAGCTGAAGCTGCGTAGAGTGCGGTACTATCAGTTCTACTCGTCCTATTGAACTTGGCGTTGTTGTCTAGTAGCAGCTGTACTACTGCTCTGTGGCCTTTGTGCGACACCTGAAATGCTTTCTCATAGCCTCCTTTTTGGGCGTCAGGGTTTACGCCTTTGTCGAGTAACAGTTTCACTGCTGCCTCATAGCCTCTCGCTGACATAGCGTATAGTAATCTGTCGAAGTCTGTATTCCACATTTCCACGGTGGAAATTCCTTCTAGCAAACTTTTCAACATCTCCCCGTAGTCCCTACTGAAAACGTCATGTATCACCTTCAACGCCTCCTTTTTGAGTATGAATTCCCCTTCGCGTCTTTGGAAAAGAAGGATCATGATGTCTCTTCCACCTGCCTTGTTTCTTGCAGCGGCTCGAATCACTCTATCTGTGATTATGATTTCACTTCCACGTTCCTGAATGAGAAAGCTTATGATTTCTCGCCCGTTTTCCTGATTTTCTGCCGCAGCTTTGATCATATCCTCTGATAGTGATACCTCAAGTCCTCTCCGCATTAGGAAACGTTCAACTGCCCTTGCGTTGGACGTTCGGACAAGCTCTGAGAAGAATGTAGAATTCCGAAACGTAAGGTCCTCTAAGAACTCTGGCATCGTCTCATAAGAATCATCTGACTGTCTGAATAAGAACAACGAAGTATCGCGAATGACTGCCTGGAGGTCTTTCGTATAGACTGGACGTAGGCTATCGCTGTCGTAAGCGTCTGAAGATATACCTAGCAAGGCATAGACTTTGTCTCGTGGGTCGCTCGCATTGCTTTCTCTGAACTTTAGTAAAAGGTTGTACAAGTCTCTGCTTTCACCCCACCAGGTCTTTTCCCGCAAGTGTCCAGGCATAATATCCAAAACAGCTTGACAATGTCGTTCTGGTTTGATGCCTACGAGCGACGGAGCAAGGGCAAAGGTATGTGCTTTGACAGACTTGATGCCACACCGGACACTTGCTTTCTTCGCGTTGGCTATTTCCTGTAAAATCCAGACTCTTCTAAACCACGGTCTCTTTAAGAGCAGGTATAGGCCTTCCAGTACCTCAAAACTTGAACTCTGAGGAACCAATCGCCAGAATTCGGTCCACTTTGCTAGATCCCAGTGTCTATGTGCATGCGCTAAGCTGTATCCTTCTAGTTCCCGAAGAGAGTCCATGAGAACATTGGTTTCCGCAGTGGGTTGACCTAGCCAGATAATTACCTCTTCCGCGTGCGAATAAATCTTGCACATTTGCTGAACTTGATGTCCTCGCTCTTTTTCGTTGCCTTGATCGATACAAATAGCATCAACCCAGAGTACCCTATCTACATCTTCCGAACGAAAATGTTGCAAGGCTGAGTGCAGATTTTTAGTAACACCAAGTGTCTTCCCACTGACTGTCACAGTCGATGCCTTGTTCGTGCCGCCCCAGGTATACGATAAAGCATCGTACGGAACGGTATCGGTGCCATCAAGATAGGCCTGATACAGTATGCACTCGATGGCTGGCCCTTTGCCTCGAAGTAACTGTAGAAGTCGAAATGCAGGACGCTCGAGATCGATCGGTTCGTAGATGTAGATGTCCATCTGTACCTTCGACTAGAGTGTCCTGTCATTAGCTAGAGGGTCTAAGGCTAAGATGTTGGAGGCTAGGCTACCTGGCCCTGATAGCAGAAGTGAAGGCTTCAGCTACTAAATGTGGCAGTGCAAGGCTAAATCTCTGCAACACATTCAGATCGCCAAAGCCTCGACTCGGATCTTGGCACTCTGTATCATGCCATGCCCACCGTGTGAGACCTGCCCATCTTTTCCTTTAGACGCCACATGAGTTATCATGTTCTTCTTCAATGTCACGATGCTCTGAACTGGAGGCCGAGAAAGGCTAACCCTCGGAGATCCATCGGGTACCCGCAGGGGCAATCAAGCCACAGTCACATGTATAGAGTGTATAGTTCCATCCGCACCTTTGGGTAACTTCCCTAGGATTCGACTCAATTTACTCGAAGTGATATATTCTGTGCCTATCTGCAAAACACTTCACATTCAATAAGCTAAGGTAATATCTAGATACTGCTTAGTGCATGTATTAGTTGCAACGTGATCGAGGGATACAAGGATGTAGCAGGTCGGATGAGGAATCAAAGGCGGGACTGTGGGGCTGGTTAGAAGGCGGCGCAACGGTCTGTCTCTACAATATATACATTTTTGCATTAGCTGCAGTTGTTTATTGCACTATGCCTCGGATTTGCATGATAGCTGTGTTAGAGGCTGGTTGCACATGCCAGCTTGCACAAACGGCCTGGTGCGTATCGGTGAGGCATGCTTCGAATCTGCGCACGTACCCACAACATCTGAGCCAGCACACATCACATTACAAGCACATTGAAAGGAACAAAGTATAAGCCAGAGGCGGGTATGGAGGCCCGTCGTTACTCTGAATTATGTAGTCTCCGTTTGAACGGGTAGACTTGTTAACTAATCTTAGGCTGCGTGCAGAAACGCAACTCATCATCTCCATATCACACTCTTACACTGGGTATCATCCTCATCCTGACCATGGTTGAAGGGTCAAGTAGATGATATGCAAAACAACGCCTTTTGAACAACCGGACCCCGTCGAGCCCCAGGCTCGATGCTATGCCGTTGAAGACAAATAACTTTTTTTCGAAGTGGTATCATAACGTCGTGTTGAAACTTCCTAAACGCGGAACAAAAAGAAATCTAGTAGCGGTAGATGTCGCTCTTGAAAGGACCCTCGACAGGGAGACCGAGGTACTCGGCCTGAACGTCAGTGAGCTTGGAGAGCTCGACGTTGACGTGTGCCAAGTGAAGAAGAGCAACCTGCTCGTCGAGGATCTTGGGCAGAACGTAGACACCGACGTCGAGCTTGCCGGTCTTGCCGAACTCGACGTACTTGTTACCAAAAGCCTCGTCGGATGCCTTGTAAAGCATGATCTGGGCGAGGACCTGGTTGGTGAAAGAGCAGGACATGACGAAAGAAGAGTGGCCAGTGGCGCATCCCAAGTTGACGAGACGACCCTCAGCGAGGAGGATGATGTGGCGTCCGTTCTTCATCAGGTAGCGGTCAACCTGGGGCTTGATGCTGGTGACTGATTTGGCGTTGGCCTTGAGCCAGGCAACATCGATTTCGATATCGAAGTGACCAATGTTGCAGACAATGGCGTCGTTGGGCATAACCTCAAAGTGAGCACCAGTCAGAATGTCACGGCAACCAGTGGTGGTGACGAAAATTTGACCCTGAGGAGCAGCCTTCTCCATTGTGGTGACCTGGAAGCCGGAGACGGCAGCCTGGAGGGCGTTGATGGGGTCAATCTCAGTGACGATGACACGGGCACCCATGCTGTGGAGAGCCTGGGCACAACCCTTGCCGACATCACCGAAACCGGCAACAACGGCGACCTTGCCAGCAATCATGACATCGGTGGCACGCTTGATACCGTCGACAAGCGACTCACGGCAACCATACAAGTTGTCGAACTTGGACTTTGTGACGGAGTCGTTGACGTTGATGGCGGGGACAAGGAGACCGTTGCCCTTGAGCATGCGGTAGAGGTGGTGGACACCGGTGGTGGTCTCCTCGGAGACACCGTAGCAGTCCTTGAGCATCTCAGGGTACTTCTTGTGGACAAGGGCGGTAAGGTCACCACCGTCGTCGAGGATCAAGTTCAGGCTCTTGCCATCCTTGAAAGCGGTGAGTTGCTGCTCAAGGCACCACTCATACTCCTCCTCAGTCTCGCCCTTCCAGGCGAAGACGGGCACACCGGCGGCGGCAATGGCGGCAGCGGCGTGGTCCTGGGTGGAGAAAATGTTGCACGAAGTCCAGGTGAGCTCAGCACCGAGGAACTTGAGAGTCTCGATGAGGACGGCAGTCTGGATGGCTGCAATGCGTGTTAGCAAGAAAATTTCCTTTGGTTGTGGCAAATGTGCAGAGGCAACCTACTCATGTGCAGACATCCAGCAATGCGGGCACCCTTCAAGGGCTGGTCCTCAGCGTACTTGCGGCGGGTCTCCATCAGACCAGGCATCTCGTTCTCGGCGAGCTCAATCTCACGGCGACCGAAGGCCGCGAGACTGATGTCAGCAACCTTGAACTTGTGGGCGGGGGCAGACATGATGAAGGTTGTGTGTGGTGAATTGAGGGGGGGAAATTGAGAAGAAAAGGGTAAAGAGAAGAGAGAGGGAGGGAGAGAAGGGATGAGAGAAGATGAAGAGAATAAGAGAGCGGCGTCGAGGAGGAGAAAAGTGGGAGAAGATAGCCCCGCGCTCTAACACCTGTTGACGCTAGTGGACCCTTGGACTGCGCTGTATCGGCACATGGAGTTGGACGAGCTTGCGACACGTCGACCCCTCCACTGTCGATAGGCGCAAATCTGCTAGTATGCACGTCTGACCATACAGGTGCTGTGCATGAATCATGTCAATTCAGTATCTAAACGCCCTATCCATGAACAAAATATCCTCATAAACTCCGAGCAGCGCGCGCGGGCAAGCTGCACTCTGTTCGCTGCGGGGCATGAAACCGCGCCCACTTGGTCCAACACCGCCGACGCGCCATGCTCTAGACTAATGCAGTAAGCATCCTCACTAGGACCGAATCTCACCGACACTACTGTACTGAATTCGGTAGGAGATCCATCAGTACTCTCCATTTTGTCGCTACAGGTACAACTAGCCACTCATTCCACTCACGTGTAGTGAGGCACTTGTCCCTTGTCGCCCTCTGATCCTGCCGCCAGCGGCGAGACGCCATTGTCAATCTTCTTGCCAGGCATTTTGAAGTGCGGCTTCAGCGGCTCCCAGCTCTCCGCGTTGTAACCTTCCTGAATCTTTCGGCACTTCTTTAGGCCCCAGTCGGTTACGCCAATCATCAGGCAGCTCTCGAACATAAACGCCATGCTACCCTCGCCGACTTTATTCGGCTGCAGCTCAACATTTGATGCTTTCTCGTGAGTAGCAGCGTCAGGGCCGTGGCCCGACATGACATTATGTAGAGATGCGCCGGCTGGCTGGAAACCTCCTCCAGTCTTGGCATCGTACTGGCCGCCAATAAGGCCCATAAACTCCGACATGGTGTTTCGGTGGTACCATGGCGGTCGGAACGTATTTTCAGCAACCAACCACCGAGGCGGGAAGATTACAAAGTCCGCAACTGCGGTTCCTGCGTGGTCTGAAGGCGCGGTAAGAACAGTGAAGATGGATGGATCTGGGTGATCGAAAGAAATGCTCCCTATTGTGCTGAAGCGACCGAGGTCGTACTTGTATGGATAGTAAAGGCCATGCCACGCCACGACATCGAATGGCGTATGCTTTTGTTTCGCAGCATAAAGGTGGCCAGCAAACTTTGCAAGGATTTGCCACTCTGTCTCTGTGTCTTCGTCAAAGTCGGCCACTGGCGCCTGGAAATCACGCGCATTCGCAAGGCAATTGGAGCCTATAGGCCCAAGCTCGGGGAGGGTGAAGTGTCCCTGATATAGCTCTAGAATGTATCCTCGCACAGGGCCTTGAGGAAGTGTGACACGGTATCGAATACCACGCGGTATGACACAGATCTCGTTGGGGCGTACAATAAGGCGGCCCAGTTCGGTCTGAATATCCAGCACACCGTGCTGGGCGACAATGAGAAAATCACCATCAGCCGAGTAGAATGCTTCATTGGCCTCCATGTCCTTTCCTGCAGCGTATATAAAGTATCCGACTCCCGACTTCATTGTGGGGTCACCGGCACCAGCCACCAGGTGCAGAGAGTGCACCCAGTCTACTGTCTCGTCGAGGTCGAAAGGATCCCATCGGAGCTGGTTTGGGATATAGTGTATCCGTTCCCATGGCTTGTTCTCGGGGTTTGTGTTGAATGTCGTGGATTCACGGGGCTCAAAATTACTGTGGCCGCAAGATGGCAAGATACGGTAGAGCCATGTTTGCTGGTTCTCGTGCCTAGGGGCTGTGAAGGCGGTTCCAGAAAGCTTCTCGGCGTAGAGGCCGTACGGGGGCTTTTGTGGTGAGTTTGCACCGATAGGGAGGGCGCCCTGTACTGCTTCGGACCTGGGATGCCGTTAGCTTGTACTAAGCGGGGCAGCACTGGGAGTCCGTACTCATGGTACGAGTTGAAGCCGTTCTGGTACCGGTACTTTTCCTTGAAAGCGAACTGTGTAGACGGCATTGTGAGAGGCGGGTCAATTGTTCAACTTTGCTTCTGTCGGAAAGTAAAAGACTACGTATGTACGCGTCGACCCGGCGGCACGCTACCACTGCGGTCTTCTTGAATCTATGTACAACGGCCCCACGGCATTAGTGAAGGAAGCATCAAGCTGCCCCTCGGCCATGGCTGCGCTGCACGATGCGGCAATGAACGGCTTTTGGTTCCGCTGTCTATGGCATCAGAAGATCAAAGCGGAGTAGTGGTGAGCCTTCACATCGGCTTACCCCACAGCCCACGGGCGGCGGGGCATCCAACCTGGCGATCCGCAGGCAAATGACGGAATCTTTCCGGGCCCGCCTGTCCGCCTCCATCCCGATCCGTCACAAGCCGACAGCGGACCACAAGCACGGCATCCACCAAGAGGGTCTTCATGCGGCTGACATTATGACTTTGTCAGTATGCAAGGAATCCTTGCGCGCCTGATAATGGAAACTCCGACAGCTCAATTGCATATCATCCTCGCGAGGCTCTCGAGGCAGTACGGTACTACATCGACGCATTGGAGCTGACCTGTAGAGTAGTCAGCACTGCATGTAGTGTACTGCATTCAATCATCCCCGCTACCCGAACAAAACACCATACCACACATCTTGCAATGGCTTCACTGCGATCTTGGTTTGCCATACCTCGCGGCTCGCACTTTTCACTAGCCAACATTCCGTTTGGCGTCATTTCAACAGCCTCGTCCACAAAACCACGAGTCGCAGTTGCCATTGGAGACCATGCCCTAGATCTCGAGGCCTTTGCAGCCGGCAATGGCTTCTCGGCCCTCTCCCTCATTCAGCCTCATCAAGCCGTCTTCTCAGAGCCCTCACTGAATGCATTCGCTGCACTCGGCCGCCCCGTCCATTCCGTCGTTCGCAAGTACATACAAAGCGTGTTTTCCAAGGACACCACCTACCCAGATGTCCTTCAGAACAACTCTGCTCTTCAAAAGCAGGCTCTGTTACCCCTCAAAGACGTTCGTGCCCATCTCCCCTTCAAAATTGGCGACTACACCGACTTCTTTGCGGGTCTGAACCATGCCTACAACTGCGGTGTTATTTTCCGAGGCCCAAAAGAGGCTCTGCAACCAAACTACAAGCACCTGCCAGTCGGTTATCATGGCCGAGCATCCTCAGTCGTACCTTCGGGCACCCCAATTCGACGACCCAATGGCCAGATATTATTGGATCCTACTGCGGAGAAACGGGTACCTACATTCAGCCCGTGTAAGAAACTGGATATGGAGCTCGAGCTCGGAGCTTTTGTATGTGGCTCAAACGAGCAAGGGACGCCAATACCAATTGAAAAGGCCGAAGAAAACTTGTTCGGTGTAGTTCTCATGAACGACTGGTCAGCCAGAGACATCCAGGCATGGGAGTACGTGCCGTTGGGACCTTTCAATGCAAAGAACTTTGGCACAACCATCAGTACGTGGGTTGTACTCGCTGATGCATTGGAGCCATTCAAGACAAAAGGCCTCGAGAATGATACTGAAGTACTGCCCTATTTAAGAGAGAAGAACGACAAGACTGTCTACGATATTAATCTTCAAATCGATCTCAAGAGTATGTCTATCACTCCTGAGCCCCCTGAGACCAAACTTGGCTAACACGTAGCAGCATCCTCTGGCAGCAATGCTACGGTTTCCAGAGTCAATGGTCGAAACTTACTTTGGTCCTTCCCACAAATGTTGACACACCACACCGTCAACGGATGCCCCTTTCAGCCCGGTGATTTGCTGGGCTCTGGCACCATTAGTGGTACTACTCCAGCTGAATATGGAAGCTTCCTAGAGCAGAGCAACAACGGCAAAGATTCTATCGCAGTTCAAGGAGAGAAGAGAACATTCCTCGAGGATGGTGATGAGGTTACTATTCGAGGTGTGTGCGGCAATGATGAAGAAGCTCTTGTTGGGTTTGGCGAATGCGTGGGCCGCATTGAACCTGCCTTGAAATTGGAGTTTGCGTAGGCTCTTTCGGGGGATATAGCTTATGTTCCATGCATTACCTGTCCCTGTCTTCAACCAGTAGAGCCATTGCGCGGTCTGCGCATAAGGGAACCTTCCATATCTATCTTTTTCTAAACATACTTGAACAGAGCGTATGCATGAGTAAGCGGTGTACCGCACCTAAGCAGGGATGTTGTAAATCGTGCATGGTGCGTTCGTCAAGTCGTTGTACGTACAGGCATATACGAGTTCCCTTCTTGGCAGTTGTCCCAAACATGATGTGTCAATCTGCTAAGCATTAGCCTCCAATACTTGTCGGCAAGATGTGTTCAGGAAATCTTCCTGATTTAGTTAGTACACGATGACCTCACCCTACATCGCGCCTCCCCGCACGGAAAGTGCGGCCCTATTCCGCCTTGACTGAACACGATCATCTGCCTGACTTGACAATTGGTGTAACAACTCCATTTTGGTGGACTACTGGAGCGTAACTAAACTAAAAATCTTGTCCAGTCAGACGAGGGATTATGTTACCGAGGCTAAGGTGTGGTCTTCTCCAAGCCTGAGTTTTGCGAAGCCTCGCTGGATATCGGCAAGCTCCATCTTATAGGTATTGCTGCAAGCTATATTTCATGTCCTTCGTCTCACAGATTTCGCGAGTTCCCTTCTTTTTCTATTCTATTCCTCTCACACGTTGAGCTTGGCTACAACCATGACGATCCCTATCTACGCAGCCGGCATTGCAGTGCTGGGATACTTCTTGTGGAGACTATTCTATGGAACCGACAAACCACACATCAAAGGCTTACCCGAAGTCCCTGGACTTCCTCTTGTTGGAAGCTTGTACGAACTTGGCACCAACCATCCAAAGGTAGCACAACAATGGGCGAAGAAATATGGCCCTGTCTTCCAGGTGAGGATGGGAAACAAGGTAAGTACTGGTCCTTAGCATGATCACCATTCGTCTCAAGAGTAGAGAGCCTGACGAAGACCCAGAGAATCGTCTTTGCAAACTCGTTCGACTCCATCCGTCATCTCTGGATCGTAAACCAAGCAGCCATGATTTCACGGCCTATGCTCCATACCTTCCATAAAGTCGTCTCCTCCTCACAAGGTTTCACAATTGGAACTTCCCCATGGGATGACTCCTGTAAAGCCCGCCGTAAGGCAGCTGCGACGGCCCTGAACCGACCTGCTGTACAGTCATATATGCCCCTCATCGACCTCGAATCGACCGTCTCTATCAAGGAACTTCTCCAAGACAGTAAAGGGGGAGAAGTCGATCTCGATCCCCGAGCATACTGGCAGCGATACGCTTTGAACACATCTTTGACACTGAACTACGGATACCGTATTGATGGCAACAAGAACGCACCGCTGCTCAAGGAGATTGTCGATGTCGAGAGGGGCATAGGATCACTCAGGTCGACAAGCAACAACTGGCAAGACTACATCCCGTTGCTAAGGCTGCTTCCAAGTAAAAACAATGAGGCTGAGCACTTCCGAAAGAGGCGAGACGTATACATGGACAAGCTACTCAGCATATTGGAAGAGAAGATCGAGAACGGCACAGACAAACCATGCATTACCGGCAACATCCTTAAAGACCCCGAAGCAAAGCTAAACAGAGGTAAGCCCTTTTCTATTTCTCCACACCAGGCATTCACTAACACACCCACTAGCCGAAATCACCTCCATCGGTCTCTCCATGGTCTCCGCAGGCCTCGACACGGTCCCCGGCAACCTAATCATGGGCATCGCCTACCTAGCGACCCCCAAAGGCCAAAAGATCCAACAACGCGCGTACGAGGAAATCATGAAAGTGTACCCCGACAACGATGCCTGGGTGCGCTGCCTCGACGAAGAACGCGTGCCCTACATCACGGCCTTGTACAAAGAAATCCTACGCTACTGGATCGTCATCCCCATCTCCCTGCCCCGCGTCTCAATCAAAGACATCGAGTGGAACGGCACCGTCATACCTGCAGGAACTACCTTCTACATGAACGCCTACGCCGGCAACTACGACCCGTCTCACTTCACCAACCCCGAGACTTTCGATCCAGAGCGCTACCTCAACGTTCCCGACGGCGCCGGAACACCGCACTACGGGTACGGCGCCGGCTCACGCATGTGCGTAGGCTCTCACTTGGCGAACCGCGAGCTGTTTACTGCATTTGTCAGACTAATTTCTGCATTTGAATTTACGCCCCCGGTTGATCCGCGAGATGAGCCTGTTCTGGATTGTCTGGAGGCGAATGCGCTTCCGACGAGTTTGACGATGGAGCCCAAGTATTTTAAGGTGGGGTTTAAGCCGAGGAATAGGGAGTTGTTGGATAAGTGGATCAGAGAGAGTGAGGAGAGGACAAAGGATTTGAAGTAGGTGGAGTGGAGGTGCATGGAATTTGGTGGTGATGATAGGATGTATGAAGTTTTGGATCGCTTGTCATTTAAACATTTACCTTGAGAGACTTGAATGTAGTCAGGTTCACCGTGTCTTGTTGTGTTTTTGTGTCTTGGAGCGTACTGCTACTACCGCATTCTCTTTGGAAAGCACGACTCCCTCGTCACTTCTCGCTCTCACACGCAATGTTGTTTACACAAGTCACCCGCCGTACCAGGAAGGAGGCTCTAGGTGATTCAAATAGGCAAACATTCTACAAAGCAATTTTCATCCTCTTCTTCTTCTTCTTCTTCTTCTTCTTCTTCTTCTTCTTCTTCCACTGAACACCGAATCGACAACGACAACTGGCCAGGCAAAATGTTGCCCCACCTTAACGGCTACAACATGTCCATCCTAGCTATCCCGGTTCACTTCATGAGTAAGCATACGCCCCCTCTCACATACATACTTGACTTCCATTATTACGATGCTGATACTCGCAGTCTCGATGATGCCTCACACTGTTGCTCGCGCCATCTCTGCTAGAGGTAGGCTACCTACCGAAAACAGCAGCAATCTACATGCTCAGGATACCAAAGTGCAGTTGAAGCAGCGTGTTCCTCCAGAGTCGTTTGCCAGGTACATGCGTATGTGTGGGTGCTATCACGCCGGGATGGAGGCAAGTCTTGAACGAAGTTTTGAATAGGGGTTGTCAGTCATCTAATGAGGTGGCAGAATTTCCCCCTTTTCGTTACAGCAGTGGTGGTGGGCAACATGGCTGGACTGGCACAGGACGTGCTCAACGCCTTTGCAGTTTCGGTTCTTGCTGTTCGACTTGCTTGTACAGTGAGTTGTTTGCTCGCGGTTACTTCGGTGACTTCAGTTGTTCGCGGCGGGCTCTGGGTTATGGGTGTTTCGATGTGCTTGCCTGTCTTCATTCAAGCTGCAGTGGTTATGAGTGACAGGAAGGCAAAAGAGGTGCACAGGGCGATGTGAGGTGGAACAAGCAGACAGGGAGATGGTGCGCATGGTGGGAGAAGAGAACATGGGGAAACCCGGAACAGCAGTGGTGTCAATTATGTCTGCCTTGGAACAATGACAACCGTGTCCAGTTGACGATGCACTGATGTTGTCTTGCACAAAACATTGTTGCCTAAGGCGACTGTGCGACGTTGCTACAAATGGACAATTTTCGGATGTTTTTGTCGTCTTGGGTAGCGGCAGGTGGTTTCACAATAGCGCCATGCAGCCGGCGAAACTGGTGGGACAGGTTTGGCGGGCTCGGTAACAAGTCTGCCAGGGCGGGCATGGAAACAACGAGGCCGTCAAAAAGGGTTGCAATATGCATCGTCGCCATGCAGCGCTCTCGAGGACAGGAATGCCCCGTCAATGAATATAGTGTAGTGCGGATAGGTGTGGGTCCTGGAGTTCACGCAATCCTGGGGCGGCTGAGGAGATCGGCCAAGCGGAGGCCAATGGCTGCCTGAATTCCCGCTCTGGACATTCAGGAAAGCCAAAACGTGTCAAGATGCGAGCAGGTGCATAAGAGCAGTTCCAAGAATGTAAAGGAGACGCTCGCCTCTCACCGCAAGTCCTTGAACACGCGCAGATAAGCGATCGCTGATAGTTGTCACGTGCCGGCGGTAGTGGCACTTACCAGCTTACGAACAGTGCCCAGCATTCGCCGCGCTTTCCACCACATCTCTTCAACGCAGCCCTTCCTGTGCATCAATTAGAGTACATCCACATCCACCCGCCCCATCCCCGAATACCACCGACTCTCAAGAACATAGCCGTAAGTCGTCCCTCGCCGCCTTGTTTTTTCCTGTGATTGCTTTGTTCTACCCCTACGTCGCCTCTTCCGAGGCCAGCTTTCCTCCGGGCTGCGACTTGGGGTTGGCAACAGGCCACGCTCCCCCAGTGCCTCTCTGCGCCAGCGAGGTCCACGCCCGTCGTGCCATGTCCTTTCCGCCCATGACGCCATCGCTTTCTTCTCAATACCGTCCTGACAATTAGCGCCACAGGTTCGAGAGTCTATACACCGCCTTCCCACTCACCCTCCTCACACTCGCACATCCACCCACCGCAGTCATGGGTCTCACATTCTCCAAGCTCTTCGACAAGCTATGGGGAAAGAAGGAGATGCGTATTCTCATGGTCGGTCTCGACGCTGCCGGAAAGACCACGATTCTCTACAAGCTCAAGTTGGGTGAAATCGTCACCACCATCCCAACCATTGGTATGTTGCGCTGCATACGGCCACCGTTGCGAAGGGTAGTGCGCTGACTTTTGTGCCCCCTTTTTCCAGGTTTCAACGTCGAGACTGTCGAGTACAAGAACATCCAGTTCACCGTGTGGGATGTCGGCGGTCAGGACAAGATCCGTCCTCTGTGGAGGCATTACTTCCAAAACACCCAGGGTATCATCTTCGTCGTCGACAGCAACGATCGCGACCGTGTTGTCGAGGCGCGCGAGGAGCTCCAGCGCATGCTGAACGAGGACGAGCTCAGGGATGCTCTTCTCCTTGTCTTTGCCAACAAGCAGGATTTGCCTGTAAGCCCTTCCATCATCGCTCGCAAGTCTCGCAATTGCACAATGGCTAACCTTTTCGTGACAGAACGCCATGAACGCTGCTGAAATCACCGACAAGCTTGGTCTCCACAGCCTCCGACAACGTGCCTGGGTAAGTTGCAAGTAGACCCACTTTGTTAGGGCGTCCCCACTAACCCGATGCAGTACATCCAGTCGACTTGCGCCACGTCTGGTGACGGTCTGTACGAGGGTCTCGAGTGGTTGAGCAACTCCCTCCGCAAGGCCGGTCACCAGTAAGTTCGCCGCTGGGGCGAGCTGTAATGTAGCGAGTCACGAAAAATGTCAAGTGCCTGTCCCTGCCCAGGCATCTCCATAACGAACGCGCGTCCCGCATGCCACGGACCCATGAAGTGTTATTTGCATTGGTGATGAAAATGTCAAATGGAAATGGTGGAGCGGAGTGGAGACAATGGGTTTCTCTGGTCTGTGTCACTATTGGAGTTTTGTGAGTGCGTGTGTGGAATGGGGCTATGACATTGCGTTTCTAGGAGGGGTTATGGTTGGGGGACAAGAGTTGTTTGGTTGCTTTTGCGTGGTACTATCAAATTTGAACCTCTTCTTACTAAGTCGTCCTCGTTGTCGTTGTGCCTTGCATGTGTCGTGTGACCTGATATTGATTGTATCAAAAGATGAAGATGAAGATGGATGAGTATGACAAAAAAAGTTTCATTTGCTCTATGCTATTTCCAAGGCTCACATTGCGGAAATGGTAAGGTAAGACATGCCAGAACGCCAATCATTGTCATCATCATCATCCTCGCCTTTGACTCGGTTTTCGCACTACATGTACAATGCAGAGATATGGACGGCCTCGTGTACATTTTTGGGGTGAGGGGCCTCCATGTCAAATGGGGCTACCCACATGCTTATTCTTTGGTCGATTGACGAATTCAAAAAAAGTAATTGTAGTAGTAGTAGTAGACAGAACTATCTTCAAGACGCAGGTGGAGCATTCTCCTTGGCAGCAGTAATCGGAGGAAGCAGCCCCTTCTCCGCCCAGAGGTCGACCAGCGGCTGCATGGGCTCAATCTCCTTGTCGCCAATGAGGTTGAACAGCTTGCCGACGTTGATGAAGTGGATGAAGCACGTGTTGAGTTCCTTGTATGCACTCACGTTCCAGAAGGGTTCCAGCCAGTGGCCGTGGTAAATGTGGGCGTAGCACCGCATCATCTGGCGGTAGATACTCTTGATGTCGCCCTCGAAGGTTTCGGGGAAGCCAGATGACTTGCCGAGCCACTCGCGTCCGGCCAGCTGGGATACGGGCTGGTTGAGGGACGTAGGTCCCAGAGGCTGCGGTGTCGAGTTGGGAGTAAGGGATCCAGAGGCATAGGTTGTCGTTCCAATTGAGATGGCGGTGGTGTCTGTAGGGAAGATGTTCGGGTCATTGATCTTGCCCACGATCCACTTTTGTACAAGGTTGATGTACTGGATGGCGGGGATCTTGATGGGCTTTTTGTTGTTGTCAAGCCAGGTATATGTGTGACCACTGGCAGACATGGTGGGACAGACATCTGGGTTACAGATGGGTTTGCCTGTCCGGTCGTCGACTACCTTGATGACTTCAATCATTTGCTCCAGTAGTCTGTACTGCTCGACAACTAGTCACATGCTTTTAGCGCCATTTCCGGCCGAACCTCACACGTGGCAAAGCTTACCTTGATGAGCGAGCCATTCGCCCTCCTCAACAAGCTTGGGCTTTGCAGCCAGCGTCATGAAATTACCCTTGACAATCAAGTTGGAGTACTCCTCGCGGAAAAAGAAAGGCGGTCTGCGAGAGCCAGATGGCACGGACCCCTCGGATGGCGGGCCTTCGAACGACATGTTGGACGACAGAGCAGGCGAACCAGGCATAGGCGGTTGGTTTGGGGCGTGCTGAGAAGTTGGCGAAGCAGAGTATGAAGCCGTTGGTGACGAAGAGCCGCCTTTGCCTTGCTGGCCTTTGCTGGAGCGGCCGGCCAGTCCTTGGCGACTATCGGTGAAGTTGTTAGAAGACGGAAACACCTTTGGAGCCTCGGCGGGCGGGAATTGGGAGGCCAAAAGTGACCAAGTTGCAGCTTCCCAGAGTGAGGTGGAGATGGCGAGATTGAAGCCGGACGAGGATATGCAGCAGATTTGCCTGAAACATACCAGGGAGGGGGAGTGTTTGGACTGTACTAGAGGGAAGGGGAGAGAGCACTCGAGCGAGGGCGAGCAAGTGCCAAGCAACTTACACGTTTGCGAAGAAAGAAGCCATTTGTTTGCGGGGTCCTGGCTGTGGGCGTGCAGGGGCTGCAAGCGGCGAGACGGGAGCTATAGATGCACCTAGAGAGGGCCGGCTTGAGGAGTATGCAAGAGAATTGAAGGGGAGGAGGTGGTGATACGTCTCAAGCGGGCACGCTTTTTGGGCCCACTCGACACTCCCTTGGGCCTGCGTCGAGAAGGGGCGGGGCGCTACTGCTGCATCCGGTATAGCGCCCAGTACACGGCCTGCTGCTGGCGTCGCTGGGAACTTTGAAGCCGTGCAGCTGCTGCGTTCCAGTCCTCCGCCGTTTTTTGCTGAACCATCATCACGTGTGGCATTTGCTCGGCTTGTCCTTCACCGTCGCCTTGACACGCCCCGACACGTCCCGACACGCCCGTCTTTCTGCGCCTCGCAAGCAACGCAGCCTCCGCCATCTGTCGCGACCATGTCCGACGCGGGCCACGATCCAACCCTGTCCGACGACGAGGCCAATGGCCATGCTACTCCTGCCGACGATGGCGAGGGAGGCACGCCGCTGAATACCGTCGAGGATAATGGCCTTGACGACGACGACGATGACCTCTTTGGCGACGGCGGCGCAGACGATGACGCCGAGGAAGACGCACACGATGCGCAAGCGTACGTCGCGGTAGAGAATAGTATGCGACATCCAATTGACGTGTCACAGTGAGCAGCGCAAGCTCGACGATGCCGAACTCGACTCCGGCGACGACGAAGGACGCAACGATCGCGTCAGGCAGGCAGAGGCTGTGGAGGAAGTCGAGCAACAGACATTTGCATACATGGACGCAGACCTGGCGCGCCATGCAGTCCCCGAGCCCACCGACAATGAACTCTACCTGCTCAAGGTCCCGCGCTTCCTTTCCTTCGAGGACAAGGCCTTTGACCATAGGACATTCCAACCACCAACCACCGATCACCATTCCAAGGTCGGCGCGTCTGAACACTTTTCTGCTTACCACACTGCCATGACCACCATCCGATGGCGGCGCTCACCCTCGAACAACGCTGTCTTGCAGTCGAATGCTCGCATCCTGAGGTGGTCCGACGGTTCTCTTACCCTGCAACTCGCCAGCGACCCTACCGTGCAGTTCGACATCGACGCCAACACGCTTGCACCACCGCAGATAAACCCGAAGATTCCCACCCCCACAGCAATCAGGGAAGACAAAACCGGCGCCAAGACGAGCGCGAAGAAGGAGAGTTACACATATCTCGTGGCCCCTTACGAAGAGGCCAATGTTATGCGTGTGACCAACAAGCTCACTGCATCCCTAAATGTGGTTCCCGCTGCAAACACAAAAGATGCTGCGCTGGAGAAGCTGCAAAACGATCTTGCAAAGGTGGCATCCAAGGGCCGAGACGACGCCGACCAGGCTATTTCCTTTATCAACGTAGACGAAGATCCCGAGCTACGCCGACAACGCGAAGAAGCCACATTCAAAGAGAAGCAGCGGCAACTGCGCGCCCGCGAGAAGCACGAAGCGCGCCAGGCCGAGCGCGCCAACCGCACCATGGGCCGCAGCAGCGGACGAGCATCAGGAGGCGGACTCGATGTTGATGGACTGGAAGACCGCGCTCCTAGGAAACAGCAACAGAGAAAGGGTGGTGGCTTACGGCGTGACTGGAGCGACGATGAAGACTATGGTGGCCCTCGGAGGAATCGCGAGGACGACTATGACGAGGAGGATGACTTTATCGCTGCCAGCGACGAGGAGCCGGAGATTGTCGAGGACGACGACGACCCAGATGAAGGCATTGCGCCAAGTCCGAAGAGAGCCAGGGGCGGGGCTGTTGCAGCAGACGACGACGATGACGATGACGAAGTCGTGGTTAGCCGGACAAAGCGGAGACGTGTGGTTGATGATGACGAAGATGAGGAGTAGGATGTTCCTTTGAGGCGATTATATCATGTATGCCAGAGCCAGAGCCAGAGCATAGTATCATTACTCAGTTGGTTCCGTATCTGGCTTTCAAAATTATTGGATACCAGCATAGCCCGGAGTTTGAGTTTGTCTTTGGTGTATAATACCTTTAGTCTTACAAAGTATTTTTTGGCTAGAGAAATTGAAATGTTTAGTAGCCGAGTCATGTTGCTTTCCGGAGTAATGTTTTACTGACTCTTTCAAAGATGGGTCGGAAGGATCGAGTCTCGTCGGATATCCGTTTTACTCTTGCCTGATGCACACTAGTGCAATGCACTAACTCATGAGTATGTATACCATAGTTGAGTCACCTTACCATTCCACTGACTACCTTTTTCAAAGACTTGTGAAGGGAAGACTCGAGCCAGATTTACCAACCCATTTTCTTTCAAGATGGAATCGTTAGAACAACTGCGGGTGGGCTGGATAGGCCTAGGGTCAATGGGTCTGGCCATGGCAACCAACATCCAAAAACACATACAACAGCATCCAGACGCTTATCCGCCGCTAAAATACTGGAATCGAACACTCTCACGAGGCAAACCGTTGGAAGAGCTTGGTGCCACGGCGTGTGCCACAGTGGCCGATCTAGTCCAAACCTGCAATGTCATTTTCATATCTGTACATAGTACCCATTTCACTCTCCTCTATAGGGAGTACTCATCTTCCGTACAAGAATATAACTGAAAATCCCCAGGTCAGCGACGACACGGCCCTAATAACCCTTGCAGCCATCATCCAATCCAGCGGCCCTCTCTCCCAAAAAGTTATCATTGACACAACCACGGTGCATCCCTCCACCACAACTACTATCTCCACTTCCTTCGCCCAGAAAAATGCTTCATACATCTCCGCCCCCGTCTTCGGCGCCACTCCCGTCGCAATCGCAGGCCAGCTCCTCGTCGCCGTAGCCGGACCGCCCCAAGCAATCACCCGTGTAACACCACTACTCAAAGGCGTCCTGGCACGCCGCGTACTCCACGTCGGCGACGAAGCCTCACAAGCCATGCTCCTCAAAACCACCAGCAACTTCATCACCGCAGGCCTCATGACCTTGCTCTCCGAAGCCCACGTTCTAGCCGAGTCATCTGGACTCCCCTCATCCACCCTCGAATCCCTTATCGAAGAAAACTTTGGCGCGTATGCACTCGGCGTGTCGCGCCGCTTAACTTCTGGATCTTACCTCCCTGCCGTGGGGCAGGCGCCGGCGTCGGGGCTGGAGCTCGGGATTAAAGATGTGGGACATGGGGTTGCGATTGCGAGGGAAAGGGGTGTGGAATTGAAGATAGGGGAGATGTATCTTGAGGCTGCGGAGGGGGCGAGGGGGTATGCGGAGGAGAGGGGGAGGAGGGCGGATAGTAGTGCGGTGTATGGGGTTTTGAGGCAGAGGGCTAGGTTGGGGTTTGAGAGTGAGGTTGTTAGACGGAGGGATGGGGTAGAGGAGGAGGGAAAGGAGTTAGAGGATGCGCTGCGGAAATAGGTACTGAAAATGAAAAGGATAGAAGTGGAATACGCTTAATAGCCATGTAACAATGATAACCTCAGCAGTGACTAGTATGATGAAAGCGTGTACCAACTCCATTTCTGTACTCAGTATCCAGTGTCCAGTATTTAGTCTATCCAAGTATAATCTCCGTCCATGTAAAACCACAACCTCTTATATGTCTCTACTACACGCCCTCAGCAGCCCGTCGCTCCGCCTCTACTTCTGCAATAACAACCTTGCGTACGCCTTGCCACCCTTCAGCCTTCTTGACATGGCTGACTCGCCTGGGCTTGTCTTCAAGTCCCTTAAACTCATCCGGCAGTACCTTGGCCTGGAAGTACTCCTTCTGATCCGGCAGTGCGAGCTCAACCGCATTGGCAAACTTGGCCGGGTGCGCAGTCGCAAGCGCGATGTGGTGTGTGCTAGGAGGCTTCGACACTTGTACCGAGCGCAGCGTCGCCGCAATACCAATAGCCGAGTGGGGATCAAGGACGTAGTTCTTAGACGACTCCGCGTTAAAGACGTACTTGATGGTCTCAATGGTCTCCTCATCGCTAACACGGTACGAGGAAAAGTCAGCCTTGGCAGCCTCTAGAATCTGCTTGTCTACTGCAAAACCATCCTGAGACTTGAGCTCGTTGAGCCAATTCCGTACATGATCGCCTGCTTGACTTCTCCTTTGTGATACAGCATCCGAATTTGTGCTGTAGACATCGTACGAGAGGAACCACAGCAGACGCTCAAAGTTTGATGAGACGAGAATGTCCATGGCTGGGCTCAGCGTCTCCTTGACTCCGCCTTCGTGCGCCTTCGCACCGTCTGCTGGGATGCCGCCCTCGGCCTCCTTGCCGTGCACAGGGTGCTTCTCGTACTTGCCGGTTTCCCAGAAACGGTGTAAGATATCGTTCTCGTTGGTTGCGATAACGAGCTTTTCAGCAGGCAGGCCCATGCGCTTCGCGAAGAAGCCAGCGAGAATGTCGCCAAAGTTGCCGGTTGGTACAACGAAGCGGACGGTGGAGGCGGGGAGGAAGGAGGGTTTCTTGATGAGGTCAAAGTAGGCGTAGAAGTAGTAGGTGATTTGCGCAAGAATGCGGGCCCAGTTGATGGAGTTTACAGCGGCGAGGCGGTGCGTCTTGTTGATTTCTGGGTCGGCGAAGAGGGCCTTTACAAAGTCCTGATATTGTTAGTAGTGTTGTGTATTTCGGAATTTCTGTACATACCTGGCAATCATCGAAAGTGCCGTCTACGGCCAAATTGTGAACATTGGCGTCAATGACGGTCGTCATCTGTGCTTCCTGGATAGGGCTGACCTTGCCATGCGGGAACATGATGAAGATGGATACATCCTTCTTTCCACGCAGACCGTAGATGGCGGCTGAACCAGTGTCACCACTTGTAGCGCCAATGACCGTCAGATGTTCCCTATCGCGGCCCTCCTTGCCCTGGTTCTTGCGCACGAGGAAGTATTCGAACAGATTACCGAGAAACTGCAGAGCAACATCCTTGAAGGCGAATGTAGGCCCGTGGAACAACTCAAGCAAATGTATGTTCTTCTCCTTGTCGAGTGTGACTGTTGGGACGACGTCTTTTGCGCGGAACGTGGAGTAGCTGCGGCGGATGATGTCTTTCAGGTCTGCGGAGGGGATCTCTGAGGGGGAGATGTAGAGGGAGAAGATTTCAAAGGCGAGGTCTTCGAAGGATAGATCTTTCCATTTGGACGCCCAGTCTTCGGGAAGCGTTGGGATTTCTTCAGGGATGAACAGACCGCCGTCTGCAGCGAGGCCCTTGAGAACAACATCCTCAAATGAGAACTGCACATGTTAGCATGCGAGTGCGCCCACGGTTTGCGCTGACCTTACGTCGTAGGAGCCACCACGGGTGCTCAGGTAGCGCTGCGATGCTGTATGTGAAGACATGGTATTAAATATATGCAGTCGTCCAACAAAACCAAAAGTAAAAAAGTCAAGATGTTGACTTGGGGACAATGTAGAGTCATGGTCCCCATGGGGAAAATTGTTGTTGTAGCTCCGGAATCGCTGACTGACTCAACCACTCAAATGCCCCCGTCCCGTCAGCTTCCAGAACGCATGCACGAGGCGTCTAGGCTGATGCATGATGGAAAGTTTCTTTACTTGCCCCCATCGCCTCTTCTGAACGAACAAGGACTGTGTTTCCAGGGCCTTTGCGCTCAAATCACAGGCAGCCGCAGTCATTCCGTTGCCCCGCCACGCGCAAACCAAGCCCCCCGCCACCTCCGTTCCTGCATCATGCGGCGATGTCGGCGCAATCACTCCATCCCAACAGGGAAGAGAATATGCTCGCCAGCACCGCAAGTTTTACTGGACAACCTGTTCAACAGTCGGTGGACTATTGCGGGTGACTCTTTGAGCCTATGTTTGCCATGGTGGGGTAATGTGTGTGTGAAGTCGTCACAGGAATTCACTGTAGTACTCAGTCTATGGCTTAATCGAATTGACAGATTTGGACGTCCATCACTCTAGCGAACATGTGTTTGTCGAAATTATCAATAGGAAGGGTGTTCTCCTCAGCCAACCATCCAATTCCATGCAAGCCATGACCCTGCCTGCCGTCGGCGGGTTCTCTACCAATGGGCAAGCACTAACAGCACTGCAATATCTGAAAGCAGTATATTCAGCATGCTTCCCAACTCCATGTTTATTGAAAGATGTAACACCAACAACACCAAGCACCAACATAATCCTCCATTCGCAACTGCAATCAAGCCCAGCCTAAAAGTCCATAAGCATCACCCTCAAGCAACACCAACACCCAAGAGTAATATGAAGCCACCCAGCCAAACCCGCCAGTCGAACGCACACTCGAACAATTGCAGCCCTTCGCAGCCTCGCAGAACTCCTTCACAAAAAAGCAATCGCGTCCCACACCTACACGCTTGACACAAGACTCCCCTCCATCTCAACCCCGCCTTCTCCCCAGTCTCAAACGCGAAAACCGGCAAAGTTCAAAGTACCCATTAAACCCAGTGCGCAGACTACTACGCCCAAGATATCCCGCTGTAATGCCAAGACGAAACGCTATGCGGAAGCCCCACACGGGTGGGTAGTGGAAGAGGCAACGGGCGAGGTTGGGGGAGATGGTAGCTAACATGTGAGATATTATGATGATTGATTTTTACTCGAGAGAACGGATAGTAGGTAGCGGAAAAGACGGCAAAGGGAGCATGTTTGGCTGTTCCATTTGAAGTCATGGGTGCCAATAGTAAGCAGCGCGGGGCGTAATGTTCACGTGATGGAGGGGGGATTTCCGCTGGCGTCCGGATTATGGGGAGTGATGTGGAAGTACGTATATGGAGTAATTCATGCTGTTTTTTTCGAATTTGAAGTTTCTCCGTTTCTCTCTCGTGAATGGCTAAACGTCTACAGAACCTTGTATACTACATGGCTACTCGATTTGTGCGAAGTTGTACTAGGAGCTAGCTGTGAGCTAGTAGTCTTGGTGGAAATTGGTTTCCCAAGTACAGAAAAACGAGTTACTCGCAAATAAGATAAACCTATCCTATTTTTTCTGGCACATACGACCATTGGAAACTGAGAGCTAGCCATCCCGTCCGATCTGGCATATATAAGCAGTTTACCGGCGGATTAGTAGTTAGGTGGGTGACCACTAGCGAATCCCCGCTGTCGTATGTTTTTGCATCTTTTGGATTATTTTTGCTGGATCACGTGGCATGGGTTTTGCTGCAGCATGATAGAGGCTATTGGCAACAAGAAAATGGATGTTCAGGTAATGTAGTGCGGTTAGTAAGAAGCAATGTGTAAGTGTTGAGTATTGATGCTATGTAGGTTCAAACTCAAATAAACTATGCTGCTAATCGGTATACTGAAAATATCCCCCAATGCAAATTAAAAAAAAAGTATCCCGCATCGCAAACCATGCTATCTCCGCGCATTTCCTTCAAGAGATGCTCTGCGGCGCCTCTGCGCCAACTGCTCCATGAAATCGTTCAACTCGACCGCATGTGCCCGTCGCGCTAGTTCGGTCGCCCGACGAAGCTCATATATATGTGCCTGCAAACGAGCTATATCGTATCCTGGTTGGACATGCCCAACTGCATCCGGAACGACACGATCGTGTAACAAGTTCCGAAGGGCAACGTAAGCTTGAGGTCTAACAATGCTGGTCAGGGGGATGATTCAGATGACAGCGCCGACACTGTGGTAAGAAAGGGTGGTAGAACTGAAATTCATATGGTTGCCGCGGTGGAACAGCACCGTAGAAGTTGATGGGTTGATATGGAATTGGCTGTTCCGGCTGTCGAATAATAGGAGCATGGAAAACGGGTGGGCGGGGGTGTACGTACTGAGGTGCTGGCTGTGGTGGAGGTATCTGTTGGACTGGAACTAGAGGTCGCGGTGCACCTGCTTGACCAGCACGTGGAACACGGTGGAGCTGGTCACCAACCATATGATAAGGAAATGCGTGTGCCTCGGCTCGCACTCGACCTCTGCGTGTCTCCTCTGCTTGCTTGACCTGGTCGGATACCTTGATCATGAGATCTGCATCTGAAAAGCCTGGATTTTCAGCTCGGACTTTGGCCATAGCTTCGTCAGCTGCTCTTTTGACTTCCTGTTCATGACGTTCTTCGACATTTTCATGCAGAGGACACTTGCCTGTCTGGCCATCACCAAAGTGTCTATAGTCGGTCACGTTTTGAGAGCAAACGTAGCTGAAGCAATGTCAGTACGTTCTTGTTGAGAATCCAGAGCTCCAACTCACCACTGCAGATTCCTACAATGCGTGCACGTCATCTTGTTACACCCTTGTTCCTTGATAAATGGATGCTTGCACCTGTTGCAATGACGGATCAAGGCTGCCGACATGGCTTCTTCAACTATGTGTCTTAGCGTAATCTGACCGTCTTTCTTGAACTCGTCGCAAGTGAGTGGGATATGGGATTCCTTTTGGCAGAGGCGGCAGCTTGTCTTTCCACACTTGGTGTTTTGGCAACGAAA